TGAAGACCTTTGGATGGATGATTTATCTATGGACAGGTTATCTTCTTGATCAGGAGAAGAGAACGACTGGCTCAACAGCTTCCAAGTTCAATAACCTCCTTTTCTTCTCAATAAATTGCTGAGGCATGAGAGGCTTCCGTTCCTTGCTGGCATCTTTTACACTGTGCCCGAAGAAACAATCATATCAGGCTCAGGAAGAGAAGTGGCTGAAAGGGCAGGGAAACAGGAACCGTCCCCACAGATGTCCTTCCCAGAGGAGCTGGGAACAGGCTTTGCTGTGGGAAATGGGAAGCTGAGGTCAGCCAAAGTGCACGGCAGGTACGTGCATCTCTGGGGACTGGAAGAACAAATAACGGCCTGCTTTGCCTCCCCATCCCTGCCCTGTCCTGCCTGTGAGCTCTCCTGGGCCACCTTCTCACCTGGTGTGCACAGCACACCTCCACTGTGTCATTCCACGGTGTGGAAATGCAGGCAGGGAGATAAAGGTGGAGAGTGGGTGGTGACAATGCTCCTGAGAGCCCTGAGCCTACCACTCAGCAAGGCAGGCCTTGGGGGTGTGAGGAGAGCCCAGAAGAAGGGAGAAAGGAGTAGGGAATGAGTCTCCCTCAGAAGCTGGAAGGCAACAAACCTCATAGACAGTGAGGTAACACGGGATGCTTCCACATGTACCCACTTGTTTGGATCTTTCAGAAGCTTTGTCCTTTCCAACTTCTTGTTGCCTGGGGATGTTAAGAGATTGTACAAGAAGTCTTGATAAAACAAACACATGGAGATCCCCTCAAGAGGCTGGAAGATATTATTAGCTCCTCTTTTACTGGCAGGCCTGGAGCAATTAATTATTACCAGAAGTATTATCAGGTGCTTGTCACTGCTTTCCCTGGATCCACTTCAGATAGTCCAGACTGGCTGTAAGCAACATGTTCCCTGACTGGCCTGATACCTCACAACTCCTGATACCAGTTCATGTGGTTCTCTGAGGAGAATCTCAATAGTGGTGGGGGGGCCATAACCTAGAATATATGCTGAGATAAATTTGAGTCCACGGACCACTTAAGTTTGTAGCATAACTACATTTTTGTGTCTTGGTGATGTCCTCCAGCTGATGTGCTCCACCTCTGTGACTGACCAGGTGGTAGGCTCTAGGCAGGGGGCAGAGAAAGGGACAGGTAAGAGGAAGGTATATGGGGACCTAGGAAGGGCATTTTATATGTGATGGCTCCATAGTGCATGTTGAGCACCTTGCCTACGAGCTCTGTGCCCTGTCCCAGTGCTGCTCCTCAGAAATAGCACCTGCACTGGCACAAGAACGTAGGATTTCTAACCAAGGCACTGTTGTAAAGAAATAACCTGGTCAAGTTTTAAGTGAAATCATGCTCACCCATGAAATCATGTGTCTAAAAGAGTACTCCTCTGTCTCCTGTCTCTAACCCTGGTTGTGCAGAGCACCTACCTTTGACACACGAGAGTTCATCTCCTTTGCTTTAAGTGTTCTTTGTATTTTTAGTGAAGTTTTTATTATTAACCATGTTGTTGAAGGAAAAATCATGCAAGTCAGCTGGTATACTTGAAAAGTACTTACTGGAAAAGGGATGCAGGTTCAGGTGAAAATACAGATTATACTAGTAAATAGAGTCAACAAAGTTTACAGTGATTCTGCAGGTTAAATTATAGACATCAAAACGATCCTCACATCAGTTTAACTCCAATCTATTCAACCACTGTGAAAGTACCATAAAAAAAATCACGTTCACAATAGGTATAACTGCATCGCCGCGAGTTTCCTGTGTTTGCTTGGCCTTATTTTTGTGCTTGCAGGAAAAGTTTAAGGAACGAGGGATGAGGGAAGAGAAAGGCCGGGTTTTAGATACAGCGTAATGGACGCGCTGCACCTTCGCCTTTCTCGTTCGCAGCGAACCTCGGCATCCCGGCGCTGTCGGCGCATGAATGAGAAAACATCGCCCGCTAGTGGCTCGGGCCGCGGGAGATGCTGCTCTGCTGATGCTGCTCCAGCAACTGTGCTGGGACAAGGGACAAGGCGGGTGGCTCTCCTTCCTCCTGCCCTCGGGTAAAATCAGCATCTCTCTGGAAAAGGTGATCTCTGAGTTGAGCGAGAAAAGAGGTTCTGAATGGAAGCGCTGTGAGTCGCCTGCAGGCTGTTTGTTACGTTTAGTGTCAATGTCCAGGAGAAACACTCTGGGTAAGCCACGACATCCAATCTTACGCTTAATACAGTAACAGAACGAATTGGTTGAAATGTGGCTGTGGTGAGCAAACACCTCTAAAGCTGCAGCACATTCAGAGCTGTCACTGAAGCCACAGAACAAAGCTGTGAACACTCCTGAAGGTTCCCTGAGGACAGACCTCCTTACAGGGCTTTGAAGGTACAGCACCACCGTGCTCCACACTGCCCCAGCTAATTAGGCCCACTCCAGAGGAGATAATTAACTCAAGTGGAATTCTTCACTGGCACAGCCAACTTACTCCCAGACCTAAGCTGGTATCTCCCCACTTCAGCATTGCACTGGATGGTGCAGACAACCTGTGATGTCCAGGCTGAGTTTTCAGGACCGGTGGCAAGATATTGGTTTTTTTTTTCCCAACTGAAAATATTTTTCTGAGATTTCTCTAGGTCTTTGGCCCTATATGAAACTGTAGAGACCAAAGACCTCAGCCTCCCTCTCCCCCCAGTTGTTTTTCTGCTTACGAGGTAAGATCATCCTTAACAGATGTTTGTTTACCTCTTCATAAAAACCTCCTGTGATTCTGCAGCCTCCCCAAGCAGTGTGCTGCAGTGCTTTGCTATTCTTGCCATTGCAAAGTGTTTTTCTAATGTTTAGCTATATCATTTTTATTGCAAATTAAGCTGATTATTTCCTCTTCTACTTTTGGTGAATGTAGGGGACAACTGTTTAGTCTCTCCACCCATTATAACAAATGTTTATGTGCTGGAAGACTGTTATCATGCCTCCCCTCCTGTTGTTCTTTTCCTAGAGAAAACAAACTCGGTTATTTTATCCATTCCTTATAAGTCATGGGTTTTTTTTCACATCTCTTATCATTTTGTTGTTCTTTTTTTGGACTCTCTCCAGTGTGTCTGTATCTCCTGTAAAATGTAGAGCCTGGAACCGGACACACTGTTCCTGCTGAGAGCTCAGCAGTATCAAGTAAATGCACAAAATAATTGCTTCCTTTGCCTTATACAAAAAATTCCCATTAAAGCATCTCAGAATGAGATTTATCTTCTTCTGTGGGAATCTCACTTAACAGACTCATATTGGGTCAAACCTCATCTCTTCTCTGCTGCGCTGCTGCCAAAACGGTTACGGTTTAGTTTGGACCAGCACATTTGGTGTCTGTGCAGTCACCTTTCCTGAACTGTTCCTTGGTGCAGTCACCTCTGCAGAGGGCAGAGCACAGCTCTCCAGTGTCTCACGTTCCTCTCAAATTCTGACTACTCCAGCCCCCTGTCTTCAGGAGGGAGTGCTGCCCCGCCAGCCCAGCTGTCATCCTCTTGGTTTTGTCCTCTAGGCTGTTGTCCAAAACACTCAAGGAAATACTGAGAAGCCCTGGAGGCAAAACTTCAGGGACATGAACCTCCCAGCTGGAAAAGTGAAGCCCTGATAATTACCCTTGATAATGGTACTTCAACCTGTGTAGCCTCTGTATGGTGGCTTTTCTTGCTGCTCTGGGAGCCTATGATCTAGATATTTTCTAAAGGCTCACAAAAGTCAAGGTATTTTATACCTAACCATTTCCTCCTCATCTACCAAGCCCGTTAGTCAAAGAAGAAAATTAGCTTGGTTTGACAGGATTTGTTCTTCAAAATTCCCTGCTGGATGTTTCTTATCAGCTTATTGTCCTTTAGCTACTTATAAATTGATTGTTTCATAATTGGTTCCAGTATCTCTCTAGGTATCACAGTTAGGCTGACTGGCCTGTAATTCCCCAGGTTCTCTTAGAACAGTAATTTTCAGAGAAGAACTGCATTTAGGTGAAACAGCTATAGAAAGACATTCCACTTTTACCCTGCTTATCTTTATTCACTGTCTAGTTTTGTTCCATCCCTTAAATTACAAGCACGTTTCCCATAAGTATTCATCCTCCACTTGAGGCTCAGCACAATCTGGCCCTATCTCCACCTCTTCTGTGTTCCTGCCCAAACTCTCCTGTTACACACTTCCCCAATTCCCCTCCTCCTCAATGATTTATATCTTCCTCCCCCTCTTTATGGTTTGTTTGCAGTTCCCTAGCAAAATATATTCCTCAGCAATTTATATCCCCCAGTGCCTGTAGGGCTCTGAAGAGAGTCCTGGAAAAATCTGAGAGCCTTGCCCTTAAAATATGGGCAGTGACCCTTGCCAGTCTTTCAGGGATGTGGCAATGCCTGCCTAAAATTTTATCCAGGGCTGGCCACATTTAAATGATTTCTGAGGCCAGTAGGTGGCAGAGAGATGATGAAATCTGGGAGACTGGTCCTGGTGATCAGAGTGGCAGATCCCTCTGGCTCTAGGATGGACAGGGACACCTGTTGCTGCACAGCAGGTGTATGCTAAGTTGGGTGGTGCCTGGCAAACAGGAGTGTTGGGTGACGCTCCCAGCTTCTTGCAGGGAGGCTGGATGTGTCCAGTGTTCAGCCTCAGCCAGGAGCAAAAGGTTTGTGTGTTCAGCAGAAGAACAGGAAGCATGTGCCACTTTCTAGCTAAGCAGATCGGGAGAAGATAACTTTGTTTGAGGGAGGGGTATCGTTATCCAGGGTTGTGCGCTATATAATTGCACAATCTGCTATCATGCATGAACAGAGCTGTTCAATAGCATGGCCCTGCCTTGTCCTGACATCATGTCTGTGTTGGAAATCCGTTTGGAATGAAAAAATCCCACATTCCCCAAGTGACCTCGTAGGCTCTGAGCAAAAGGCTGAGTTGCAGTGGAGACTTCACAGACTCAGTGGTGCCAGAGGCAGGAGCTCAGTCACCAGCCTCAAAGCAGCTAAAGGATGAGAAGTCAGCCACGAAGCAAAATTCTTTCCAAAGAAAATAACATTTTAAAAGTGCAGGAGATGTCCGTGGTTCTTTGAAGGCAAGAAAAGTCCCGAAGGCAAGGAAAAGTCACTGTGAGTAACAGTGTTACTCTCACTAGCTGCTACTCTTTTTAGCACCGTTTTTTGGAGAGGAAAGTACTCAGCACATCAACAGGTTGCCTACTGAGAGCTTAAATGCTGGGCGAGGTTCACAGGTTGGAAGTGTTGGCCATTATCAGTCTGGTACTGTCAGTATGCAGTTCTTTTGCAGGCTCAGTGAATGTCATGTGTTGCATGTGAGGTCCAGTCTTCTAGACCTTTGGCTTTATGGTCTGCACTCCTTTCTTTCACAGCCACAGGTTTTCACAGCCTAAGAGAATCAAGTCTCCTTCTTGCTCTTCTCGTGTTCTGCCTTCTCTTCATCGCCACCTTAACCAGCCACTTCCCTGCATAACCCCAGTACAAGAGGAATTCCCCACTGCCCATCCTCATCTTAATTTAGGCCCTTTTCTTCAGGGGGAGGAGGCCCTAGCGAGCTGGAGAATCTGTCCCAGAGCTCAGTGGTGCCTTTTTAAAAAGGCATCCAGGTGAACTGACTGTGTGGTTTTTCCACAAGCCAGAAATGTCCTGTTAAAATCAGTGTGCCCTATGCTAATGGCTCTGCACCCTAATGACAGCAAAGAAAGTCAACCTGATCATTCAGATAAAAGTAACATTTACCCAAATGATAAGAGACTGGAATATAATTTCTGCATCAGCTGCATCTTGCAAGCTGTTCTGCAGCTTGCCAGACAGTGTTTGATATTTGGATAGTGTTTATGAAAGGCAGATAAAAGGTTAATGAGAAATATCTCTGACAGTTACTGGATGTGATTTAGAGATGGACTACAGCCATGTAGTTACATACCAGATTTGGGGTTTGGCTCCTTATATTAGAGAGATAAGGCCCAGGAAGGGATACACACATTCCACCAGAGATGAGTTTTCCAAAAAGACAGTTTCAGTCTGAAAAGGAACAGGCAGTTTGACATCTGAACCACCTGCTCTCTGTGATGCACCACCTTCCAGGCACTCTTTAAAGGTGTTGGGTGCTGGTGGTACCATTTAGTCCTCCCTCTCTTCCTACTTCCCAGAGAGGGGTTGAGGGTGGCAGTGATGACCAGTTACTCATGTCTTAGTCCTTGTTTATCTCAGTAGCATGTAGCAAAAGAAAACAACAAAGGTGTTCCTTACTCTTCCTTACTGTTCTCATTCCTCTTGTTGATCAAACTGTGCCTTTTCTTATTCACTTCATGTTCCTGGGACTTGTGTCTTCCCACACACCAGCTTCACGTAGCACAGGCTGAAAAAATGTTCTGCTACAGCTTCTGTATTAAGAGAGTGATTAATTAAGGTGTTCAGAATATGACTTTCATTTCAACTAGATCCACTGAGGTTGATTTTTTTCTTTTGTGTCTCCAAACTGATTCCGCTTGCAAAATATGATTTTTTTCTCCATCTCTGACTTATCCTTTAGCTCTTTTGAAATCTTTTTTGAAAAACATTATCTCAGCCTCCAATTGTGCTTTGAACTTTGGGGCTGTGCAAAAAAGCTTTTTGGGAAGACAACTGCTAAGGTGAGACTCTGAACTTACAGGGGCACAAATGCCCAGAAACACTGAAGAGAGGCCTGAAACCACTGGTTTGAAGCTACAAACTTTTGTGGCCCTCATATTATATATAATATCTTATTCAAATGACAGCTTTTCTAGAGACAGAATGTCTCCCAGTGCCATTCTGGGAAATTAAATTCAATGTTGAGTTTGCATAAAGAGAGAGGAGAGCTACTTGCTGCTTCATCACTTTATGAGCCTGGCATCTGTACCATTGCTTAGCAAATTTTGCTTCCAGTAATCCTCTATTTCTTCAGAGCTGACCACCAAGAGCACACTCCGAGCAATTCCTACAGAAAGACCACAAAACCAACACCTCAGAATAAAGTTATCACCTTTGGCTTATAATTAAAACTCCCAGGGCAACTGGTGGTACTTGCAGATGCATTACTGAGCCTGTGATTCTTCTCTCCAGCACTTTTGCAGGTGGCTGAGGGCAGGCGAGTGTGCCTGGGGTAACATTCCTGTTTGCTGGGCTGCTGGAATTCAGCTGCCCTCCTTAACAAAACAGTTTGGTTTAGACATTTTTAATGCATGTGCCATGGTGTAAGATGCATTTGGAGGAAAAACTAAGCAGAACTAAGGCACTGAAAGGTGAGGTTGTAAAATTGGTGTTTCTCAGCTTTGATTAATATTGACTGTTAATGTTGTTTTCTTGTGCCACTGCTTTTTCCAGGTAAAAGATGTTGAAGAGCAGCCCAAAGCATCTGACAATGCCAAATACAGACGTAGTACCTCAGTATATGCCTGTGCTGGAAATCAGCAATGCAGTTTACCAACTGTCAGAGTTGGGTGTAGGGTAACAATTTAATTCAATTAATTCTGCCAGAGATATTGGCATTCTCTTTTCACCTGTCATACCACAACACCTAAAGACTGGTGAGTGTGGGCACACAGCTGTGCTGAACCATAGCAGAATTGCAGAGATGCTTTGGTCCCTGCTTAACTGAGCAAACTCCCATTTATGCATGTATTAGGTTTTCACTGCCTGTCGCCTGTTCCTCTCCCCCCTCTGCTTTTTCATGTTCAGTGGACTCTCCTCTCTGTGTCTCTGCCTCTCTCTCTATTTTTTTTCCTCCCTATTGTTCCCCACGTCACTAACTGTCACTCACTTCATAAAGCCGTCTGGCTCGGAGCTTAAATATTGCAGGGCAACTAAAACCCACCATCAGAGCCAATTCAGTCATATCTGCTCAGTCGTGCGACAAGATTGGGGCTTTTAGGGTAGGGAAGAAGAGAGACAAAAGTTCACTCTTCCCTGCAGAGTGCCAAGAGAGGAGGGGGACACATTTCTTCGGTGGAGCCTTTCACAGCGGCAAGTTGCTTGCTCAACATCCTTAACCTGTACGGTCTTTTTTGCCGGTAGCGTGCTCAGGAAGTGCAGGGTGGGGGTCTGCAACGAGCCCACGAGAGTTGAGAACATGAATCTGTTGACTCTTGAGTGGGCTGAGGCAGTGCCCTGCTCTTTCCTCACGACAGGCAGTTTTTAAGGGAGAAGGTGAAGTGCATAAGTACATTGCTCGCACCTTTTCCTGAGGCTCGAGGGGCTGGCTGCTCGCGGGTGGAATCCTGAACATCCGAGCTGGTCGTGCCACTCGTCATCAGTCCACCCAATATTGTTGCTTGCAGTTGGGCAACCTCGAACCACTTCACTCGCAGAAAACGGAGAGGGTGGTCATGGCAGAGTTTTAAAAAAAACGTGGCCAGTTCGGAAGTTGTCTCAGGAAGAGTTCAGCCAAATGTAGCAAGCTGTGAGCAAGACAATTGGTGGAGTTAGCCAGGGAACATTTTTCCTTCTCCTGTGCAGTGAGTTTTCTGTATGATAAGGTTTATCACATCTAGAATGTTGCTCTTGTGTGCTGCAGTGCTAATGTTCGAAAGGTAGTGTGGCTTATCAGTGGGACTCACAAAGGAAGAGAGGGATGGAGTTAACTGAGGTGCCTGGGGGACAGTGAAGTTTATACTGCGTGTAGTCATGTTTTTTACAGAGTTGCACATGATTGGTAACTGTTGGGTGTACTTTGCTCTGTGAATTTGCAGAAAGAGGATGTTTAAATCAGTTTAGATAATGTATGTAAACAGCATAATCTTCTGCTAGACTTGTTAATGTAAGCGCTGACATTAACACACTCCTTTACACAACTTTAATGACTGAGAAAGTAGCAATTTTCTTCGGTGATTAAATTATACGTTTGCTGCTTCCTCCTGAGAGGTGTTTGTGCAAGCTGAAGGGCTGCGTTCTGTTTTTCCTTTTCTAACACGGGTGCCTGGGGTTAAAAGAATGTTATGAGGTTCAAGGGCGAGGAATATGAGTCCATCTTGTTTGAGCAAAATGCCATCGTAAGCGGGTTTTTTTTTGACTGAAAATTGGTGAAATTCCCCAGAGCTGTAGAGCTCTCAGTATTGTGTGTGTTTGTATGTGTGTGAATATGTACACACAGTAGTTGAGGCAGACTAGTATGCGTTGGTGTGTCATAACATATGGCATTACAAATATATCCCAGCGGTATCTGAAGGAGGAGGGAAGTTTAGATGCTCAGATTTCCATGCTCTTGGCTGTACCTTCTTTTTCCCGGTGCTTGTGTATGTGTGTGTGCATTTAGGAGACTATAGATGGAGGCAGTATCTAAGAGGTGAACTTCTAGTTCCCTGTGAAGAGCTATTTTATAAATAATGTTCCCTGTTTCACTTGTTGTGGTCCACCACTCGGTCTTTCTGGACCACTTTAATACTCTGCATTCCTCAGAGACTTCAGACTGCTGTGGTGTGTTTAAACCAGCACATCCAAAATACCTTTCCTTTCTATTTCCCTCATACACAGGTTTTCCCTTGCCTGCAATGATATAGTGGGAAGTTCAGGATATGCAGGATGAACTCCTGACCTAGGAGTAATTTCTTAGCATGCAAAAATAATGACAAAAATAATGTAATATTTGACTTGCATCACTTGAAAATGGACTACTTTCTTAGCTTTCCAGTAGGATATCTACAGCTGGCTTCCAGCTCTATGTCAGCTTGAGATAGCAGCACTGACATTTCAGAGACAGTGAGAAGTATTTTAGGTCCCAGTTAGAGACCTTTGTGTTTTTCCTCGGGTTGGAGGAAAAGTCAGTGTGGCAACTGACTTCAGAAGAGGATGCAAAGAATAGCCCCAATAACTGTATTCTATATAATGTATTCTGTGAAGCAAAACTAGTCTATGTAGTAGTTATTAAGCTTATACAGTATTACTAACAAAGTAATGGTGTTGTAATTGCTGTTCTTACCTAACAGAGTGGTTGCTAATGTAGAATTAATATATGCAGTCTAGAGAGAATCCGGGTTTACTGTAGGTGGAAGATGGGCGCCAACGTGAGATCTGTTTGACCCCTGTGTGGTGTTCTGGTGCAGGAGAGCTTGGGTGCTTGAAAGCTGCACTCTCTTTTCTAACCACTGCAGCTGCATGCTGATAAATCTGTTCCACTGTATTGCTGGTGAGTGTTTGTACGTGTATGAAATCCAAGCAGGCTCACGCAACTAAGCCTACAAGGCACCACAGAAGACTCTCACCTGGAAAAGGAGATAAATATACTCCCTGGCTGAAAAGTAATTGCCCATTTAGTGCCATGAAAGAAAGAATTTAGCAAGCAGCTTGCTCTGGCTTCCCAGCCCTTCTCCTGCTAATAAATCATTGTGATCAGGCAAATAAGCAAACGACCATCTTTCTGTTCTCAAAGCATATTAGGGAAATACTGATTGAAAGCAGCAAAAGATATCAGCGGGAAAACCTAAATCTTTTAAATTTAGCGTAATTTGTGGTCTTTCTCTTTCTTTTTTCTTCCCTTAGACAGTAAGAAATGGGTGACTGGAGTTTCTTGGGGAACATTTTAGAGCAGGTGAACGAGCAATCCACTGTCATCGGGAGAGTTTGGCTCACAGTGCTCTTCATTTTCCGCATCCTGATCCTGGGAACGGCGGCCGAGCTGGTGTGGGGAGACGAACAGTCAGACTTTGTGTGCAACACCCAGCAACCTGGTTGTGAGAACGTCTGCTATGACGAGGCCTTCCCCATCTCCCACATCCGGCTCTGGGTCCTGCAGATCATTTTTGTATCCACGCCTTCGCTGATGTACTTTGGGCATGCTGTGCACCACGTCCGCATGGAGGAGAAGAGGAAAGAGAGGGAGGAAGCTGAGCGGCGCCAGCAGGCCGAGGTGGACGAAGAGAAGCTGCCCCTGGCTCCAAACCAAAACAAAGGCAACAACCCTGATGCAACCAAGAAGTTTCGCCTGGAAGGTACTCTCCTGAGAACGTATATCTTCCACATCATTTTCAAAACCCTCTTTGAGGTGGGATTCATAGTAGGTCAGTACTTCCTGTATGGCTTCCGGATTCTCCCCCTTTACCGCTGCGGGCGGTGGCCCTGTCCCAATCTTGTGGACTGCTTTGTCTCCAGGCCCACGGAGAAGACCATCTTTATTATGTTCATGTTGGTGGTGGCTGCCGTATCCCTCTTCCTCAACCTGGTGGAGATCAGTCACTTGATCCTGAAAAGAATCCGGAGGGCTCTGAGAAGACCAGCAGAGGAACCGCTTGGAGAGGTCCCGGAGAAGCCTCTCCCTGCCATCACAGTCCCCACCATCCCAAAGGCCAAAGGCTACAAGCTGCTGGAAGAAGAGAAGCCGGTGTCCCTCTATTTCCCTCTCACAGAAGTAGGGGTTGAGCCCAGCCCCCTTCCATCAGCCTACAATGAGTTTGAGGAGAAGATTGGGGTGGCTCCACTGGAAGATCTCTCCAGGGCATTTGATGAGAGGTTGCCATCGTATGCACCAGCTAAGGAACCAGAGGAGGAGAAAGTAAGAGCAGAGGAGGAGGAGGAGCTAGAAGAGCAGCCTGAGGAGCCAGGGGTGAAGAAAGCAGAAGAGGAGGTGGTGAGCGATGAAGTGGAAGGGCCTTCAGCACCTGCTGAACTCGCCACCGATATGAGACCCCTCAGCAGGCTAAGTAAAGCCAGCAGCCGGGCCAGGTCAGATGATTTGACTGTATGAAGGTGCAGGATACAGGGAGCACATGAAAAGGAAAAAGTTGAAGAGAAAAGGAGAGATAGAGAAAGAATCAAAAGATATTTTTAAGCAAAGCGCTAAAGTGGCCATTTGAATATTATTTCCTTTCATGATTCCCAACTGGAAAGGTACTACCATGGTAACTGTGCCTTATTTGCCCTGTATGTCCCTGTATTTCCCTGTTTCCACATGCCAGCTCACTCCTTACAGTAATATCTACACTGTACACATAACTGATGTATTTTAAAACCTAACATGGCAGTGATACTCAAATGTTGCCACTGTGAACGTATTTACCGAAAGCCTTGTGTTCCACATTTGTCTGGGAATGTGGGGAGGATCTGTCTTTCAGCCAGCAAGGGGGAAGACTGATCAACAACTGTATCTAGTCTTTCTGTTTCCACCTATGGCTCGCTGAGCAGATCTCCCCTTTGCTGTTGGCATGGAATTGCAGTTAAATTTAATCCACAAAGTGAATTCTGTGCTTAGCATCAACACACTAAAATAGTAAGCCCAACTTCCCTTCTCTATCCAGAAAATAAAATCCAAAAATGTTCCCAGTTTCTCTGTGAATGCATATCTGACTTAGGTAAAAATATTTTCCCTTTGTCAAAAATATTTCTGCCCTTCAAGTGAGATTGACAGTGGGCAAGGTTAACAGTGGCTCCCTACTAGGATTTAGCAGATGCCCAGAGAAGGATTATTTGTTCCCAAGAGGGTCACCCAGCCCTGAGACTATTTCAGTATACTGGAAAGAATAAATTCAAGTGATATTTTTTACTTGTAGCCTTGTGACTTAAAGATCTGAAGCTTGATTTAGCCAAGCAAGCGTGGGAAGGCTTCTGAGAAAGGAGGGAACAGCTACAGCCCCCAGAGCATGAAACCAAATACAAGCCTTCATGGTATGATCCTGACATGTGCTCAGTTCCTGGAGCTTGCAGGCTTCCAGGCACTCAGCAAATCTCAGGTACAGAGTCCTGAAGGCACCTGTGGACGTACACCAGGGGTCTGGGTAACTATGTGACTTCTTAAACCTCTAAATACAAAACTGGTTGGTCAAGTTTGAAAAGACTGGTATGGTAATAGTCTTCTTTGACATCTTTTGTTTTTAATTTGACAGATAGGAGCTGTTCAGTGGGCTACTTCTCTATTAAATGCCAAAGTCTCACTCAAGTAAGACAAGGCCTTTCAAAAGATGATTTAGACCTTTTGTGCCAACAGGTCTGTACAGAACTCTGAGACTCAGAAAAATATTTTTTACGGAAGGCAGAAAATCATGTGCTTGCAATGTTTAGATGTCTAATATAGATTTCTAAGTTTAGGACTACAGCAGCACCTTTTGGCTGGGACAGTGCAGCAATGTGTTCAAAAGCTTCAGGTTAGCAGCCGCGTCCCCCCAAAACTGAGCCTCATGCCAAAAAAGTGCAGGTATGCACTCTCATCTGCTCTGCTCTGCAAACCTCAGACCCTGCCATCTCAGCAAATTCTTTCTGCTGGGCTGCAGCCTATCCCATTGTTCCCGGGGCAGGCTTTAATCCAGGTCAGGGAAAAAAGGTCTTTGGCACAATGAGTAAAAACTCATCCCAGCCATCAGCTAGAAAAGACCCCCTGCGGCCTCCCATTGTAGCAGGTTTGACTCAAAGCCCCTGGGAGTCAAACGGGGCGTCTGCGAGAGCTCTGGGCAGGCTCGGCTCACACCTCCAGTCCCAGCCCAGGCAGCCCCCGGTGCAGTCACTCCTGTCACTCGCTGGTCTAATCCAGTTTCCCTGCCCAGGTAACTCAGCTGCCCCTGGTGAGCGCAGAGGTGGCTGGACTTCACTGCCGAGTGACGTTAAGCTGTACATATGTAGAAAGTTTGTGGGGTGCACTGGGGTTCTTCAGCACCACAGCGGTGCCACGTATTTTATTATTTTTTACACTATTAATCCTTTTGCTCCTCTTGAGCCCATGTATTTTCCCCAAGGTGTGCAGCCTGAGGTCAAAACCTTTGCTCCTTAGACAAAGGCTGTTAGGTTGTCCTTCCTTGTGAAGGAAGACTGGAAGGTACCTCCTCAGTTTCGGGAAGGAATAGGATAAAGCAAAAGGACATGCAGAGAGAGAGTGTCTGTAGATTACAATTTATCCACGCTCCTAATACAGGAACAGGAGAACAGTTATCACAGACAAAAGGCAACTGAGGAAAGAGAATGTTTTTCAGAAGGAAAAGAGTCCACTGTGCCCAATTCAAGATACTAGAATTCAAGAAAGGGCAAAGATTTAGACGAACAAGAAAATCACCATATTTATACTAGATGGGATCTATTACTTCTTTATTTTTCCCACAGAAAGATAGAGTTTTAATGGTTCTGAGGATCGACCAGCCTACTTGGTGAAGGGGCTTGGAAACATACTTTTCTGTAGGTAAAAACCAAAACCCTGTAAAGGTTTAGTATGAGGGGTCTTCTGCCTTCTTCAGAGCATCTGACCTTTCCAGATAAGAGTGTACTGGACTAGATGAATCACTAGGTGAATCACGCCCACCCTAGTTGCTTTCTAATTGACAATTCCACTCCTGCTCTCAACCTCTGACACTCATACCTTCGTTAGACCCCGGGGCTACTTAAAGATGAGTGCTTACACTCATCAGGAGTGTATGGTTCACAACAGGGCTGTCAGGCAGGCCAGTCTTTAATCACCACATGGTGGGTACGTCATTCTTTCTCACTGGAGAGCCTCTGTAAAATGCACTATATGCACTCAGTGAACACTGGAGTTCTTCCACAGCCGCCGCAGGAACGCTTGTTTCTTCCTCCGGGTCACGACTGCGCAGTGAGACAAGCCAGCGTCTTCCTCCTGCACCCAGTCAACTTCTTGATTTTTTTTTTTAAAAAACCAGTTTTCAAGTACCCTGCCAGGCTGCTGGTGAATCTGTAGCCACCAAGGACGGGCCACGGCATCAGGACATGGGCAGGGAACTGATAGTCCGGTCTTCCGGCATTCAGCCTCATCTCTGCGATGAAATCACTGTGGGACTGTCAGCAAGTCACTCTTCCTTCTTGTGCAACTGGGAATAATTTTCTACCTTACAGTGATGATGTGAGGCTTGATATATTGTGTTAGTAATGGAAAGGGAGGTCCTTGGATGGAAGGCCCTACAGATGAGCAAAGGATTATTGCTATTTCTGGATGTGATAGCATATAAATGTGTTTTATTCCCTCTCAATGAGACAAATTTAAATGTTTATTCAAGAAATTCCTAGCAAAGTTGCATAACAGCCTCAGAGCTGTGGATTCACTGTATGATTCTACTTACAAATAATTATGCAAAACATACATATATATATGAAGAACAGGGAAAATTATCTCCTTGGGAAGGGGGAAGTCACTGGACAATTAGAGCCATGCCTGGATCATTTAAAGGTGTGTTTACCCCCTTGGCTCCCTGTGCAAAGAAATTACTAACTGATCACATGGCTCTCTGCAAGGAGCATAAAATGCAAGTGTCAAAATCACCAAAGGAGGTGATAGTAGAAGAGAAAGGTAGTCTCTTAGCTTACAATAGCATGTGGAGGTTGGTGTTCTCTAGTGTCTAGAGCAGTGGACCTAGGATAATAATCTTAGATTTATTTCCAGCTCTGCTTCTGACTTGCTGTGATAATCACTTTACCTCTCAGTGCCTGTTTTCTCCACCTGTAAAATGGGTTGTAAGAATTTCCACCTACCTCACAGGGATGTTGTGAGGCTTCCTTAATTCTGTTTGTAAAGTAAGTAGGAATGATCTGATGAAAAGCACTGCTGAAATGCATGGTATCCTTGTTATTTCCTGGCAGAACTGCTAACTTGGTTAATTTATGACTCCTCGACCAGAAGGGCAGTAGTTTGGAAATGTGAACACTGCACTGCACTGACGACATTAACACGGATGTGGATTTGCCATGGGTAAAAAAGACTTGGTTGATTACCTCATCCTTCTCTCCCACCTTAGCCTTGGCCTTGCCAGATATGAAGCTGTGGTGACAGTGTGGTTACATGGACCCCTCTTCATCCCCAGCATCCATTCTGGGGCAGAATTTGTGCTTAAATAAGGCGGTTCCTGGAGTGCCGGGTTCGGGTTGGTGGAGCTCTGACAGTTTTAAAGTCCTTGCAAGGGAGAGGGCTGTATCACACAGTACATTGCTGGGCTTCTGTTTCAAACCACTCAGTGTCATAGACACCAACAATCTCTTAGTGCTGAAACAAAATGAGGTACAGATTCCTCCTCCTGTAGGAGGGGAGAGATTTGGGGGGGGGGATCTCTGCTCTCTAGGTCTGTGTGGGCATGAAATCTACTTGCTGAGGGGGGAAGTCCCATCTCTCCTGCCACTCAGTAACTCACTGACTGTGCAGTTTTACATTTAAAGAGCGGCTGTGTCACACAATGATGAAAAAAGGTGGCAGTTTGCTGTTTTGTATAGAAAATGGCTTTTCAGGCTGACAACTGAAAGTAATCCTAGCCTAGGCGTAGTTTTGTTTAGTAAAGGCAGGAACATCCATGAGAACTAGGCTAAAGCCTTCCTGTAAGCCCAAGGCAGTTGTTATAAAACAGGATATGGTGCCAGATTTCCTGAGGGCCAGGGTTGGGTAAACGTACCAAAATCGGGGGACTTGTCTAAGTGTTGGAATAAGTTTTTTCCCCAAAAGAATGACACCACCATTTTTTAGGCTCTGTGTGTGCTAAACCTTTTAACATGGCTCAGGAAAGGCTTTTTGCCAACACCAAGTATGATTATACAGCTGAGTAGTAACCATGGCAAACGAATGTGTGTCGGTTTGCCAAGACATAGCCTGGCACACAATCCTTTCCTGGCAACCAGCTTGGCAAGCACCTATTTCAGTAGAAGAGGCAAGACTCATGTATCTGTCAACAATTCAAGCTTTTCTCTCAGCAGCCTGATGTACAAAGAGACACTGAAGGTTTGTGCAGCCTAGAGAGGAGGGGGCTAGGGGTATGGGGTCAGGTACCTAATGGGGAGTTCCAGAGGAGATGGAGGCAGACTCTCAATGGAAGGGAGTTCCAGAGAAGATGGAGGCAGACTCTCAACAGAGGTGCACAGCAAAAGACCAGAGGCAACAATCACAATGAGCAGTGAAGGAAAATTTTGACTAAAAAATTCTGATGAGTGAAAAAATTGTTCAAGTGGAGACTGGGTCAGCACTAAAGCGGGTGCCCAGAGGAGGGGTGGGATCTTCATCCTTGGGGGATGAAGCTTGACTGGGAAAAGCCTTGTGCACCCTAGTCTGACTTTGCATTGAGCTGAAGGTTGGGCCAGCTGGTCCCTTCCAGCCTGAACTACCTATCCCATGGGATACCCCAAGTTGAAAGCTCAGTGCAGCCACTGCATGGTG